TGACTGTTAATTATGTTAAAATTTTATAAATATATATGTTAATATTTAACATTTCACTAATAGTATCTATAAATATTATGTATTTCATAAATCATAAATTTAATAATAAAAATTTAACGTTATCAAATGTGAGATTATTTTTAACTAATATTATACATATATTTACTTTGATTAAATTATCAATTCTAACACTACATATTTATAGTTCACTTAGTTATTATATAAACACAAAATATATACAATATTAATTAAAAATAATCTCACATTTGATAGTATCAAATTTTTATTATCAAATTTATGATTTGCAAGATATGTAATATTTATAGATTCTACTAGTGGAAGGTTAAATATTAAAATATATATCTATAAAATTTTGACATAATTGACCGCCATTATTGGTTGTCGATTATACCTATAATTGATAAAATTGGCTATCGATGGCCATTGATTATAATCATATAATCAATAGAATTAATTGTCAATTATATATATAATCGACAATCATTATTGAGTGTCGATTATAGTTATATAATCGACACATTACCATAATTGACAAAATTTTTATCGATTATATGAGTATAATCAATAATTTTTTTGCTATTGATTATATTTTTGTCGGATAAATATTAATTTTTAGTAGTGTTCTAAGATTGATCAAAGATTTACATTTAAGAATATTAAAATTAATTAAGAATGCTTTTATTATTGTATTAAATGGGGAAAATGCATAAGAGAAGGGGAATGGAAAAGGTTAGGTCCTTTAATTAGGAATGGTAGAAAAATGAAGTTTAAGGACCAACCTTTAATTTTTCTTATTTCTTTCGCATTTTTTAATTTAACTTAAAATTCTGATGTTAAATATCTAATTGAAAGTTATGCAACCAACCATAAACCAAATTTCATACACAAGGACCTCTACCAGGGAATGAAGTCAATTAAACCTTAAATGAAATAATAGTGTAATAAAAAAAAGAGCATATATTTTTGGATTATGAGATAAAGATTATTAAAGCCAATTTTAAACTATATGTAAAAATTTTATAAGGATAATAATATAATATCCTTCAATTAGGTTTTCTCAATTCTCTTAATATCCTTTCTTTTAATGTGGTTTTGCACAATTTCTTAAAAAAATATTATTGACAATTAGCAATTTTTAATCTACATTTAATTATTTAATTAAAATTTTTTGACTAAAATATTATTATAAAATTCAGTAATTAATAAAAAATAATATAAAATTCAACTTCTAACATAATAATATAATATCCTTCAATTAGGTTTTCTCAA